AATGGATTGCAATGAAGAATATGGTTTCCGGTGACTGAAATGGTGTCTGCGTAGATTTCTCCCGTTCCTGGTTTCGCTCGACAACGTTGCGCAGCTACTTATTTATATTACTTAAATCCAACTATATATGATAATGACAAGTACCCTAGCCATGGCGAAAACGAGTGTCGGATCATGTGATTTCCGACGCTATGAAAACTACCCACCAAAATATCTTACCCAGGGTGCGTCAACAAAAATTCATGCTCTTTAAAGTTCGTTTATGTTAGAGTTATATTTCATTTAAAGGTTAGAAAAAAAAGGTTCTAGTGGCAAAATAGGTCAAGGAAAACTTTTTTGTTACGGCACAGAAGGTAGTTTCTTGTGCAAATTTCGAGAAACAGGCAATTTTGTCAAAATGAACGATTTTCTGATCGTGTTACGTTACACGAATGCATGATTAATTATTGTTGATCGGAACGTGATTGTGAAAATTAGTGTTAAGCAGCAACTGTTTTGTAAGCTCTTCCGACAGTAGTAAAAACGGGAATAAGACATAATTAGCGAATATATTCGTTTAATAAATTAATATAAATAAATTAAATTGGTAATATATTTTGTTAATTAAAAGTTCTTTATACTAATCCACTAATCTAAGGCAAATAAATTAGTGAAATAATAATTACTCTTGAACTGGAATATCTTACATTTTTCACCCACTAAATAACGAAAATAAACCAAATTAGTGAGAGAATAGAATAGATTATTTTAAGTATGATAGACTAATTAATAAAGCTCGATATAATGAATTGGCCATTTAGTAACGCTAAAGCGAAAGTGACTTGGATTTAAGAAAGTTAAATACAGTATGCAAAAATTAAATTAACGAATATTTGTAACGGTGATCATTGATTGGTTCGATATGTCAATGGGGCATGACAACGATGCATGCCTAAATACTTTTCGTGCCCCTCATCCCACTAAAGATGCAGACATAATGCTGCAAATTGTCTTAATTATAATAAATTATAACAAAAAATGTCATAACTCATTTTATGATTAAAATAAACTATAATAAATTATGTCATAACTCATTTTATGATTAAAATAAGATATAACATTATATCATCTTCTCTAGATCTAACGCAATGAAATCATCCTTTAAATCTCATTTACAGCATACACTATACTTGTTACCCGAAACCTTTTTGCTATAATCCGAAAGTTTCGGGTTTCGGATTATACTTTCCGAAACCTTTCCCGAAACCTCTCCCGACACCCAAAACCTCTCCCGAAATCTGAAACCTATTCCGAAACTTAAAACTCTCATTTATGCGATATATGTATTTATTTTGTGCAGCACATTAATATTATTTCTATTTGCTAAAAAATTTTTGCTCATTTATTATTTATAACGGAATCGTTAGGAACCGATTTTTCACTGCTTATCATGCGACGCATCACACCCAATCATAGGTGTTAAAAGGTTTCGTATAACCAGTATAAGTTTCGGATTATACGTTTCGGGGTTTCGAGGTTTCGGATTAGTACTTCCCGAAACTAGTTTCGGGTAGGTTTCGTTTCGGGCAACATGTATAGCATACACGTTCCTAGTTTCGCGCGACAACGTCGCGCAGCTGTCCTATTATATAAATATAGTAAGTTGGTTTGATTTAAAAATACAACAAATACTGTGAATAAATAAATTTTTTTTTTCTTTTACAACCATTGCAACTTTAAAGCAAATATTGATTCATCAATTAATATAATCTGTATAACATGCCATGTTTTCATTATTTAGGTCGATTCCAAAGTGACTTAGTGCTAGGCCATTCTTAAATTTTCACTAAGTTAGAAATAACCCAGGTCAATTTTTAATGCAATACTTCGAAATTTAAAGACCAGGGTGTGACCAATGATAAGTGTGACAAAATAAGCACTAATTAATTTATTTATGTAAATAAATTAGTTTATCACGCTTATGATTGTCTACGAAATTTAAGGATCAGGGAGTGACCAATCTCCGGTATGACAAATAAGCATCGACTAATTAATTTATATAAACTAGGAAATCAGAAACTGATGTAAGTCCGAAGCGAAATATGTGTATATGTGTAATACAGATTACACTGGCTGCAGAAACTCTCAATTCTCGCTTTTGATTGGTAGTTTCGAACTAACATTGCATGATTATGCATTAGTTTTCTTAAACAGTTAAATCCTCGCTACTCTTCAGGCAATAACTTAGTACTTATTTGTGTCATGCCGAAAATAAGTCATACCTTCGGCGGCAAACAGAAGGAGTCGTGACTTGATTATTAAATTTCATTATACTACAGAATGGTGTATGTTTTTAAACAAAAATTATTATTTGTCGCAGCTGAAATTGAGAGTTGGCCTTTTTTTTTTGCTATGAAATTTTAAAAGCTTTGGAGCGTACATTTTTTTGTAAGGTTAAGTTAGATTTCGTGGTTAAAATTGTTAATAAAAGAGTATATGTATTTTAGTAGAATTTAGAATCTCAACATCAATATTAGTCGTGACATTATTTAATAAATGTAGTAAATTTTTTGAAGCACAGTTGTATATTTTAGGTTTTATTTATTATTCCAAGTTTCGGAACTTTTTTTATTTATAGAATTTTATTAGAATAGCTACATGTAAAATAAAACAACTCTTTAATAAAAAAAATAAAAAAAAAATTCAATTGTTTCTAAAAGTCGTGACTATAAAGTATTGTTTATGGATGGACAAGTCCGTCCGGTCCTAAAAGACTGGTCTATTGATGTTTTCAGCCCAGTCTCGATCCTAATAACAGTTCTTAATTATTTATCTTATTGGATAGTGGAGGTTAAATAGTATGATGTCGGTAATTGAAAATAAAAGATTATGTTATTTGAATTATTCTCTAGACTGGTCTCAGAACCGAGAACCATCGTCATGGATTTTTCAGAAGCGTTTCGGCATTTCAGTATATTAGTAACCATCGTTATACAAAAATCAACAATTAGTTTAAATTAAAAAGCCAATTAGAGAAGTTTTTGATATCTGAAAAAAGATCGTGAATTCTTATGAAAAGATCTTTAAAACAGTTCTTAAATAAAATTATTTGTATCCCCAAGAAGCTTATAAGTTGTAGTTAAAAAAGAAAATTTTCAATATACACTGGATTAATTTTATTGGATTATCAAGGGGCTACCAATTTCTTGTGCCGTGATTAAAGAATTGATTAAAGAAATCCGTGATATCGTGTGATACTTTAATGTTCAATATAAGGTTTTTAATTTAATTTAATTTCCAAGGTTATTTTATTTAATTATACTGAAACGGTTCTTACCCCAAGCTTAATTATGCATAAATTCTCCGACGATTTTCATACACGTGCTGATTTATATACTAAAGTTGGTATTGATTGTTCATATTCAATTTAACATTTGAGTACATGAGTGTGAAAACCCGTAATCAATCATAATAAATCATTAAATATTTTTCCGGATTTTCACATTTTCACTCTCAAACATATGTATAGTATTATAGTCAAATTAATTAGTGAATATTTTCGTGTAACATTCAGATAAAACTTAAATTGTTTTATTATTTATCGGGTTATGAAAAAAAAGCTAACTATTAAATTAAAATATGCTTTCGTGCGAAATTTCTAAACAGAGATACAATTTGAAGTTTGAAAATTTAATCTATTTAGAAATTTCGCACGAAAGCATATTTTAATGTAATAGAGATAACCCGATAAATAATAAACCGATTTTAAGTTTTATGAACTATACATACGTTTGATCTACATAGTACACTGGACACCTCACTCTCAGGCACTCATTTAGTATTAACATATTCATACAGTATATTCTCGATCATCATGTATAATGAATACTTTTTGGGACGTTCCAAATTATTGGGTATCATCACTAACCGGAAAGACCAACGACATTGTTGGAAACACCGACATTATTAATCCTGTGAGCACGTGACTACAACTCGTTATATGCCAAATCCATTTTGAGTAACACTATGTATTAGTAAAGTTTTTTTTTTTGCTGCCAAAGGTTACAAGAGATCTTTTTTATGAAGCGACGATTTGTAAGTCATACAAAACTAATTCTTGGCCGAATCTCTTAAATAAAAGGCTTGGTTGTGGGTTAAATTTAAGATGAGAATTAAAAAAATTGGTTTTGTATACTCTTATACACTTTATAAACAAAAATGTCAACCATATCCCCTACCTCCTCAACTGAACTACTTTACCATGAACAGGAATCGCCAACACATCCAGGATCCTCATGTATCTCGTGGATGAAAATTAAATTTTCGTCTATGTTTACAAAAAAATTTCTTTTAATATTTTTATTTGGCCAGTTTCTTTCATTTTGTATTACTTCTACGATTGTGGCAACCGCAGAATTGAAGATTAATGCACCTACAACACAAAACATTATAACATATTTCGTGTTATTCGTTACTTGTACCCCGATTACTATTATGAAATACGGACTTGCAGGATTTTTAAAAATGATGAAAATCAGGGCTTGGAAGTGTATGTTTTCATTCTTTTTCTGGTGATATTTTTAAATTGACAACGATTAGCATTTGATCTGAATAAAATATAACGTATTCATGACATATATATATGTTTAGATATTCTGATTGCTTTTATGAATGTTCAAGGAAATTATTTAATTGTAAAAGCTTTTGAATACACATCACCACTTTCACTCATGTTACTCGATGCATGGACAACTCCTATCGTTGCGATTTTATCATTTGTGTTCTTGAAAACACGATTTCGCTTAAGTCAATATTTTGGTATTATTATTTGTATGACCGGTTTTGGAATAGTGATCTTGGGTGATTTTGATGTCGGTAAAGATATGGATCATGGTTAGTTGAACTAGTTTATTATTTATAAGATGTCGATAATATATAAGATACTGTATTGTAATATATATTATAAATTCACATTTTTAACTTTAGCCAAAGATCCAATTAAAGGCGATATGTTTGCCATTGTTGCTGCAACTTGCTATGGTATATCAAATGTATTTGAAGAGCTTTGCGTAAAAGAAAGGCCATTGCATGAGGTCATTGGTCAAATGGGGTTTTGGGGTACAATTATTAGTTGTATACAAATGTATGTTATTTTTTTTGTTATATATATATATATGTGTATGTATATTATTTTATTAATGCAATTCCTTAATAATTCTATTCTCTAACAATTTATAGTGTAATTATGGAGCGTGATGAATTCGATAATTTAGTATTGTCCCCAAGAATGAGTAATATTCTGCATTTTATTATCAATTAATGTTGTTAAAATTTATATATACATTGTTTTATTTATTATTAATTTTTTTTATAAATTTAGTTGGGCTTATAATTGCGTACAATGTTGCGATGATTTGTTTATATTTCGGAATTTCAGTATTTTTCCGTATCTCATCTGCATTATATTTTAATTTGTCTTTACTCACTAATGATTTTTATACTTTAATATTTAATTATTACATAATCAAAGAACCGGTAAGTGTATTCTAAAAAATTTTAAAATACTTTTATTTTCAATAAACTAATCTCAGTTTATCCATTAGATATCTCGGTTATATCCAATAGCATTCTGTAGTACAATACTTGGTCTAATAATATATTATATTGATCCTGAAGATAATTCTCAGGAAAATAACAATGAAATTGTTGATAACATTAAGCATAATGATATTAATTCTATGAATGATCTCGAAAACAATATAAATATGGAATTTATCAATAAGATTAACGAAATCAATTCCTTGTAAAATTACCTTGAGTTTAGATTAATAATACCTAATAATTATATTTAATGTCTAATGTATTTTTTTATTCAAATAGATGATTTTATATAATAAAAATTTTTAGGTGCAATGTTTTTAAATATATTATTAATGTAATATCAATATATAATAATATATCTTCTTCCAAAAACATCAGCATAACCAATAATCGAGAAGGTGTCACATGATTTTCCGACCTAAAACCCTCGGGAATGTCTTCAAACTTTTTTGTTTTTTCACTGTCATATTTTTGGGGAGAATTTGATTCGCAAATTTTTTCTTTTTTTTTTCTTTTTTTAAATGGAAACGGTTACTAGTTATGACGAATATAGAAAAAACAATTTGATAGCAACAGTAAAACATATATAAATTTTGAATGGTATTGCAATACATTTCCAAAGTATAGGTAGCAGATAAAAGGAATATTAAACAATAAATAAATAAATAAACAAATTCTAAAGTAGGGAACATAAAATCAATACATAACAACAAACAATATCAATTAAGTAATAGTGAATCATGTATTAAATTTTTGCAAAACAAAGGTTAGTAAAAGTATGTATTCACTCCTGAAAAAAAAAGCTATACTTATGTATTTTTAAAAAAATTTGAATCAATTTTTAGTTTGATTCTCTTTGCAATGAACTGACTGTTTTTATGTATAATAAAAATTTCTAAAAGTTCCTTATATAGTAATTTACTGTTTCTACATCCAATTCTTCAATTAAATTGCCTTAAAAAATTCAGTATAAAAATTTTGTATACAAAGGTTTGTTAAAAACAATTTGTTATAAAAAAAGTTCATTATTGATCGAATCTTTTACTATTTTAAGAAAATTTTACATAACAAGACCCTATCTATTATATAATTTGCGACAGGTAGATAAACACTGAGATAAACATTATGAGATAAACAATATGAGATAAAACTGTCTACCTTTATAATTAGACCCATGTAACTTATTTATATACATTATAATATTTTTTGTAAAACTAATAACAGTATATATAATACTTATAAAATTTAACCTCTATATAAGCACAACCTCTTTATAAGCATTAAATTCTTAAAACCAAGGTTGTGTGATTATAGAGGGAAAAGACTATATGTGCACCTGTGCAAAGCACAGGTTTTCAGCTAGTATGAAAAAAATCATAATAAATACAATCTGAATATGACAAAAAAATTTTTGAGGGCAAGATCAGATCAATTCGAATGCACAACTCAGCTTTGATTAAGATAGATTAGATAATATATTTCGTATAAAGTTTTGTACGAAATGTACAAAACCCAATCTGTTTTAATCAAAAAGGAAATGTGGCGGATCACGGCAACGACAAAGACCAATACAATTAAATGACATGTGCTGCCAGCAAAAAAGATAAAGGGTCGGAAGTCCCATCACTAGATATGTAGACTAGTGGTAACCCAAACTGTTTCGGCTCTTTCGGCCATTTTGATCGGGATTTAGGATTTTGACAATATTTAAATATTATGACATATTATTCGTATGATGACAAAATTTTTATTGAAGTTAATGTCACTCAAATAGCGGAAAATATTATTGCTGTTTGAGACTTTGCTACGACAAATCCAAACTATTTTCTGCAATTTAGGATTCGCGCATTTGACGAACTATCGGGTTTGGGTTACACCACTAATGTAGACTAGTAAGAATTAATGTTCGTGTAACATCAAAAATCTGCACTTGCGGATTTACAGTCAGTAAGTATAAATGACATGTACATACGTACAGTACATACATTTTTTTTCGCATACAAAAAATCATGCCAAGCACACCAGAAGAATGGCTTGAAAAAGCTATTTCCGAAGGATTTATTAATAATCTTGAATATCATAAATTTACAGAACCTGTACTCATTGGCAGCGGTGGCTTCGGAAATGTTTTCAAATGCGAATGGAAAGATTGTGATAAAATGGTTGCTCTTAAATGTCTTAAAATTGATTCCAACATAAACAAAGAATTTATTAAAGATTTTATTAAAGAGGTATGTATTATGTAATCACATGTATTATTTCCTAGTGTATGCTGAATTTCTACATCTCTATAATCAAAATATGAAAGCTTAAGCTATTACTAAAGGTCGGTTACCATCGTAATATTATTAAATTCTATGGGGTTACGAAAGGTAAATATGCAATTTACAAGTTTGGATTTGCATAAATAATTATCAAAAATATTTATTGTAATTAATAGATAACAATGGATATTATAATATGGTTTTACAACATGCAAATAACGGAAATTTACGAGAATATTTGAAAGCGAATTTTGCAAGGTTGCGATGGACAGATAAGATTCGTATAGCTAAGGGAATAGCATCTGGACTTCGCTTCTTGCACAATAACGATATACTTCATAGAGATCTTGTAAGTGCTATACTGTAGATGTTATGGGATTTATGGTTTACGTATTTATTAATTCACTAATACTTTTGCAACTCAGCATTCGAAGAATATCTTAATTCATCAAAAAAAAGTAAAAATCGCGGATTTTGGGCTATCGAAGCAGATAAATGAAATATCTAGGACTTCAAATCCGGTCATTCATGGGATGCCGGCGTACATGGAACCTAAATGCCTTATCGATCCCAAATATAAGCGTGATAGGAAATCTGACGTCTATAGCTTTGGTGTTATCCTCTGGGAAATTTCTAGCGGAAGACTTCCATTTCAAACATTTGAATCGAAAATGGACATCTGCTTTCACATATTTCAAGGAAATAGAGAAGATCCGATAGAAGGTACACCACCTCTGTATATTGTACTTTATACTCGTTGTTGGGACAGCGATCCTGCCAATCGTCCAGAAATAAAAGGAATTCTCAATACTTTAAAACAACTTAACCCCGACAAAACTTTGAGTCAACGTAATCCTAGTGAAACATCAGCTCAAAATAGCGATAATTTCTCCTCAAATCGTCAAGATAATCCAACTGCATCTGTTAATTCACTCCATGTTACTACTTCATCTCCTCTTCATTTACCTGATACAATTAATACTTTCGAAAGTTTGAGTCAACATAATCCTAGTGAAGCATTAACTCAAAATAGCAATCCTTCCTCAAGTCGTCAAGATAATCCAATCGCTCTTGTACCTGTAAATTCGTTTGACATTACGACTTCATCTCCTCTTCATTTACCTGAGACAATAAATTTGAACATTTCTATCCAAAAAGGTAATATTGAGGATATGAGAAAAGAAGCCAAAAAATGTTTGGATCGATGCAAATTTCTCAAGGCATTAGAGCTTTACGAACAAATTCTCAAGAACAGTCAGCATACTGATGAAGATCAAAAAAACGCATCATCTTGGTATCTCAATTTTAAATGTCGTGGATCTGAAAAAATAAACGAGTTAATAAATGCACTTTGCAGGAACTCCAACTTAACGTGTTTAAGCCTAAGAGATATTAAATTTGGATCAGAAGTCGGAAAAGCATTAGCTGATGCACTTTGCAAGAACACTGCCTTAACGTCTTTAGATCTTCAATCGAATAATCTTGGATCAGAAGGTGGAAAAGCATTAGCTGATGCACTTTGCAAGAACTCTACCTTAACGTCTTTAGATTTACGTTGGAATGAACTTGGATTAGAAGGAGGAAAAGCATTAGCTGATGCACTTTGTAAGAACACTACCTTAGCATCTTTAAATTTACGTTCGAATAATCTTAGATCAGAAGGTGGAAAAGCATTAGCTGATGCACTTTGCAAGAACACTACCTTAATGTCTTTAGATCTTCAATCGAATAATCTTGGATCAGAAGGAGGAAAAGCATTAGCTGATGCACTTTGCAAGAACACTACCTTAACGTCTTTAAATTTACATTCGAATGATCTTGGATCAGACGTCGGAAAAGCATTAGCTAATGCACTTTGCAAGAATACTACCTTAACATCTTTAGATTTAAATTATAATAACCTTGGATCAGAAGGAGGAAAAGCATTAGCTGATTCACTTTGCAAAAACACTGCCTTAATATCTTTAAATTTAAGTTCGAATAATCTTGGATCAATCAACTTTATAAACAATTTGTTTAAGCAGCCGGTAGGAAAAGCATTAGCTGAAGCACTTTGCAAGAACACTACGCTGAAAGAATTGAATATTCGTCATAATGATGATATTGGCATTATCATAAATCCTATCAATCCAAATATTACAATATATCAATTTTAGTATTAGATTTAAATGTAAACATCACTGTAAATATGTAAATTATATGAGTTGTAATACTATAAAATGAATAAAATAAGTAGCAAATAAATTTAAGTTTCAGTTAACCGTAGAGAGAAAGAGAGAGAAAGATTATTGTCAAATTGAAATTAGCGTTAAAAAGAAATCAAAAAGAGCATACATTAAAATAAATAGCTGTATATCAAACGCAACTAAGACATTTTATTTTATTTTCATAATCTAAATTTAAAAATCAAATTATATAATCAAGGGGAATTTACACGTAGTCACGGGTTAATGGGCGGAAACGTATACAACGGCGAATGGAAGAAATGCGACGAATTGTCATTTCAAATTCATTACTGTCGCGTAACGTCACTCAAAAGTGTGGACGAGGCGGTTTACGATTTGACACAGGTTAAGGAGACTTTTGAGCATGTTCAAGATAAGGACAGAATCTTTTAAAGAGTGTTATAAAAAGCGTTATAATTTTGTATGTTAGAAGGATCTTTATTAATAAGTTTATTATTGTGTAGATGGCACACTCCTCTACTTCTAAAGGAGGGAAAATCCCACCTCTATTTATAACTAAGGGTTAGAATCGAATTAGAATAACTTAATTTATACTAAAATTTTATAATGAAGCTATACCATCGTTTTCATGTTACACCAATGGTTACACATGATCTTGTGATCTACATGAGACAATTTTTTTATGAGTTTGTATCTCTGGCGCAAATAAGTGTACACACATATAAAAACAAAGACATTTAGTGTAAGTTATGCATTTTATTGATCTTCAATATTTTTTTATTTTCTATAAATATAAAATAAAGAATTAGCAAATAGTTAAGATATTATGAAAATTATTACTTACTTTAAAGATATTATAAATTATAAAAATTTTGATAAAAAAGTATCATAAATGGTTTTAGGTTTTAATTATAGTAAATTTATTTAACATCTGATTTTTAGAAATCATAAAGGCATAAACAACCAATTAACATTAAATACTAATATATTAAAATTTTTTTAAAAATCATCTGAATAAATATTAAATAATTTAATATTATTAGTTTTAAAAAGAAATTATCTGAGACAAATACACTTGACACTACTTCAGAAACAATAACCAAACTACATCATCAAATTAGACAATTATATTATATGATTATACACAACATAGTAGACTTACTATTAATTTTTTCAATCTTATCTGACTTAGTACCATATGAAATTATTTCTAATATTTCAAATTTATCATTCAAAAAATTAGTTATAACACTTGTTATTAAATTTTTACTTCATTTTAATCAACAAATATATCATAAAATTTGGATTACTTACTGTATTTCAAGATCAATATCTTATCCTTCTACTTCAACTTACTTTTAAATCTTATTTCACACTTATCTTAATCTTTTTTTTCTAATTCAATTCATTCTAAAATTAACTCCTAGTATATACAATAGATCAAATACTAAACTGATTTCTCATATATAATTATTAACAACCAAATCTAGGTAAGCCTTGGTCATTCCTGTTGGTTTAGATTGCAAATAAACTAGTCTGAGCTTCTATTCTTTTTATAATATTTTTAATAGTAAATTATACTTTATGTAAAAATTTTAAATAAATATTCAATAAAGATAGAAATATGGTCTCACTATTAATATTAAAAAAAAAAAAAATTATCTGAGGATTTTTGCATGTTTAATACAAATATATTAACAGATTCTGATCAAAAAAATTATATTACTAAAAAGATCAACCTAGGTGATTAGTCTAAGTTTTTCTAAAAATAATACTAGTCTATAATTTTTTTATCAATTTATATTGCTAATATTTATTTATATATAATATATTATAAAAAAACTATAAAGAACTTACAGAATGTATTAATAATTAAAATATATAATTATATATAATATGTTATAAAAAAAACTTACTTACTGTATTGACAAACTAAATATTTGTATTAGTTAAAATTAATGTTTATTAGAGTTATTACTTTTTATAATATATTGTAAAAAATAAGAACTTACTAAGAGGTATGACAAATATTATATAATATTCATAGGATGGAAGAGGGTATCGCCAATGTCTTATGTTAGTAATAGAAATTTACAACTAGCCAATCAAATGTTGTCATACCATTAGCACAAACTTGGATTTACAACTTCAAATGCTGTTACACAATCAGCACAAAATCAGATTTACAACTACCCAATCAAATGTCATTCGCATTAGAATAGAATAAAAGAAAAAAATCTTAACTAGATCTTGTGAGTACAAAATTTGATCTTTGATATAAGAAATAAGTAGCAGAAATAATGATTTCTATTTCTGATAATTATAGTAAAAAGACAAAACATAATTCTGATGACTATAGCAATAGTAAACTAGCAAGATATTGGTCAAGAGTAATTACGAAAAAGCTAAGCTTTGATTTTATATATATCTCTTTATTTAAGTACTTATTATATCGAAGAAGTAATATTTCACTAAACTGATATATGTTTATTTAATTCTAGCAATATACAGTTCACTCTTGCTACAGCAGATTAACTAGGCTGAATATCTGATATAGTATTATTAGAGAATTATTCTATTTTGTTTTAGTGGGTCTGCTACAACAAAGATAAACTGTATATAAAAATTAATGAACATTTTAAACTGAATTTTATTCTGTATCTGAAATATATTCTCTGAATAGAACCTCAAAATAGGTAAGCATTTGAGTACTCTTTTGTGATGGCAATATCATAAAATTGTTAAATACTGTAGAATTTGTTGCTTGAGTTTTTGAAACTTCTTTTCAAAACCTTCTATGAGCAGAACAATGCTGCAAACATTTGTGCTTTGTCAAATAGGTAAGAGTGGAATAATATTTACTACAAACTGAGCAGCAGAGTTGAGAATATGTTTCTTTATCGAGAGAAGGACAGTAAAAATTATATTCTGGTATTTTGAATTGGTCAAAGTACTAAAGAAGGTAAATGAGATTTATGTAGTAGCCATCATATGCCTTAATAATAGAAGGAAGAAAGCCATTACTGGTCATAAGAAAATTCATAGCTTCTTCAGCTCTTATAGGGTTACAACATTTAAGATCATTACATCATTTTATATCAAGTGCATATTGACACAGGTTGCAATGTCTTTCTATCCAGGACCAGGGCACTATAACATTTTCAACTTTTTTTTCTTTTTTTTCTTGTTCTTTACCAATAAATTCAAGTCCAACAAATATATTGATAGTTTTATTGATATAGGTTGCTTCAACCTTTTTTCCAAAAATAGAATAATGATGCCATATTTTACATAAAGCTTTACTTGCATAATGAAAATTTTGTGCTGCTAATTCTGAATCAACAAATTTTCCTTGGCTGTCTAAATGGCTACTAAAATAATCAATTAGAAGTGTTATTCCAGCAAGCTTTTCTGAAAGCATGATCATGGCTCTCTCAACTGGATTATATTTTGATTGTCCAGGAGCATGTGTGTGCATAGTAAGAAGTCTAAGTTAAATTTTTTAAATAACCTGCAGTATGAAAATATGTTTTTTAAATATTTAGGATTCTTGTCAGGTCCACCATCAACTAAAAGTATTCAAATTGGTTTTGCACTACCATCTATTGTTAAAGCTTCAGTATACTGCACATTTGATATGAGAAAAGAAAGATCTTCCATATGTGTCGCAGATAATGTGCCTAATGACTATTGAAGATAAACAAATATTGCTAATTGTCCAGAGCGAAGATTGTCATTTGATTTATCTAGCTGAATAATAAGATAAACTGATGGTACTAACTTTTGATTATTTTCACAGAGAAAATCATGATCTAATACTTGAACTGGCTCAGCAATTGATTACAAAGTACAAAAAGTTTTACCTACAGCAGGTACATCAAGACCAATTTTAGATTTATTATCCTGAGATATTATAATTAACATATTTGCAAAAGTTTTAGCAAATTGCTTTGCTCCTTTGACAGAAGCCAGGCAATAGTGCTCATCCTGATGTTCTTTTATTTTATCACATGAAACTCCAGCAACAGCAACCCATACAGGGTGATGATGTGCTTTTGCAGTAATTGAATTTGATCGCCAAGGCAAAAGATAATTATTTAGAGAAGATCTGCACATATATATATTGTAATTTTTCTCAAGATTCTGGCAAAGATGATTTACAATTCTAACTTTTATTGCTTCTTTTCACCTATATATATTGGCTGCTTCATATTCAACTGAATTATAAATATTATAAAGCAAATCAGAATGTTATATTAATAATGAAGGTCTACCTAGTTGGTCATATCTGACTACTTCATTTTGTTCTTCTAATGTTTTGCATTTTTTGTCTCTGCATTTAGACTGATACATTGCATTTCTTTTTAATTTATTAATTTTTTGTGTTTGAGCTTTAATATTATCCTAAAGTTTGTTCATTTTTACTAACAATTCTCTATAAAGTTGAATATTAGATGAAATATTATATGAAAATTTAAGTTCAATTAGCTCTTTTTCTGCTAATTGTTTACATTCAATCACTTTTTTTTGTGCTATAGCATTAGAGTGAATTTCCTCTATATTATTTTCAGGTAATTGAGTAGTAGAAATTGTATTAGAAATTGCAATTGTAGATAAAGAATTACCATCTGTAGAAGTTTGTAATTGAGGCATCATAGGAAAAGAAACACCTTGAAGATTTAGAGACATGTTTAGATATTGGATAATTACTTTGTCAATATCAACTTCATTTTGTTTTCTAACATTTTGCCACTCTTCTGCTATCATTTTACAGACTATTAACTGATCAGGATTTGGTTTTTTATTTTCAACCATATAGTGATATATATAAGCATTAGTAAAATTTTCATATTTAGTTTTTGGATTTTTATAAATAAGTTTTTTATTAAATTTTGGGCTTAAAAGAAATGTTTGACTTATATGATCAAATAATATAATTAGATTATTTATATTGTCAATGTTTAAAAAGTAATATTGCAATTTGGATTTTTATTTAATTTTCTTAATGATCTTTTTTTATATTTTACAAAAGTTCTAATAAAATTTGGAAATGAATGACTTTTTTCTAAAAAAAAAAAAAAAAACATTCTCATTCTCATTTTTTTTACATCCTAACTAATCATCTGTATTATTAAACTCTATCTACAGGTTTTTTCATATGACTTTCCTTTTTATTATTATTTTATTTTAATTGTTAACAAGAAACATAATTCATTAATACATAAGAGCTCTTTATTCAAGCATATAATTTTGTGAATTTAATTTTTGCTTTTAATCCTCTATCCTTATGAAATTGAAGCTACTTTTGAAATTTGGAATATGTATTCACATGCATTAACTTACTTTTAGATTGATTACTCATTATTTATCCTTGACTATAATTTTAATTAATTTACTTTTTTAGATTAGCACCTCCAAACTATATTGGTGATCATGAGAATTTCTTCAAATGCATTATTGGGACATTTTAAATCTTATTCCTTACAATAATTATTAACCAATATTTGCATTAAAGCATAGTTTGATTCAAATTACAATCAGATCTTGAAGTCTTTGTTTCATTTGTGAATGAGGTTATGAATGATATATTACTGCGAGTCACTGGGCTATCCAGATGTTATCACTATGAAAATTATAATTAATAACCTGAAATACAAAAATAGGCATATGAATATGTCATATAAATTTGAGATATCACATGAAGATAGATCAGTAAGTATCTGATTATTTTGGGTCTCTTTACTTTGTTTTTCATTGGTCTGCATTAACCCCTTCCACACCTAGAAGAACAAAAAACCAAAATTATATATTGGTTCAAATATGCAGATAATATAATAGATTATTGGTGAAACCAAAATTCATCAAAGTTGCCAAAGTTTAGCATCAGAATAATTCAAAATTCATAAATTTTGCCTAAAATTACTCAAAATTTTTACTAATAAAGTACTAGCCCATGTACTAATTAAAAGTTATCCAAATGATATTTTTGTAATAATATAGTTTGCTAATATTAGCCTAGCTCAACTCTTAAGTTTTGATCATTTGCTGAATTTTGGTTGCACCATTAATCTATCCTGGTAATGAGAATAGAAATAGCATGTAAAGTGGTAGTTAGTTTTGACCCAAAAGAGGATTAACCTATTATAAATTCCAGAACTTGTTGATAGCAATTCATTTAACTTTAAATATCACATGCTATAGTATATGTAGAATATATGCCTATATTCCAGTTGTATACTTGCTTATAAGGAACAGGTTCTGATAAAATTATTATCAAATTAGCAGTTTAATCACAGAGATTATGTTTCTTTTCTAATAGTTTATGAATTTATAGCATTTATTTATTGTCACGACTAAAGTTAGGTCAGCAGATTTTGACAATTTATCTAACTTTGATATAAAATATTTAGTATATTTGAAGCATAAGTTGTAGCATTAAATGCACATTGCTTATATAAAATGTTTGTACAACTGTAATAATATTTTGAATAGTGTTTGTTATGACCAGATAAGGTTAGAGTTATTAGGGCCAGGTAGATATATACTACAGTCTTTTTGAGTTGTAGATATTTATGCTGTGGCTCAAACGATTTTTGCTAGTCTTATGTGGGTTACCTTATTAAAATCATAAAAGATCATTGCAGGTGCACTAATCAGATCTTTTTGAATAATCAACAATTTTAATGTGTAATTTTTTATATAATTAAACATTATATTAGGATTAAAGTAAAGATTACAAATAAATATATCATATACCAAAATTTCACAAAGGTTTTTTATTAGAATGCAGATAGTGATTTTATAGTCAAAAATTTTAAGTTATCAATAATTTTTTAAAAAAAGTAATTATCACATTATATCTGATCTAGTGATCTTATTGGTGTTAATTATTTGAAGAAATCTAATTGGTGCTCTAGCAATGATCTTTTATAGTTTACTAAGGTAGCTGTCTTATATAAAGGGAGAGAGAGTAAGGGTATAGTAAAAAAATATTATGTAATATTTGTCATTACCCTAACTATAATAACAAATAAAATATTTAAATTAGTAAGAATTAATATTCAGTAAGGTATTTTTTGTATATAATATATTATAAAAAAATATTCTATAAAGAACTTACTAAATATATTAACAAATAAAATATTTAGATTAGTTAGATTAATATTCATTAAGATATTTATTTATATATAATATTTTGTAAAAAATTTTACAAAAAAACTTAATAATTGTATTAATAAGTAAAATATTTAGATTAATTAGAATTAATGTTTATTAGAGTTTTTATATATATGTAATATGCTATAAAAAAAAAAGAACTTGTTGTATTAACAAACAAAATATTTGAATTATTTAAAATAAATATTTATTAGTTATTTACTTATGCATAATGTACTATAAAAAATAATAATAAATTCTATAAAGAACTTACTAGTTGTATTAACAAATAAAATACTTACATTAAAGTTAAAAAAAACTCTTTTGCAAATTCATTGCATAAAAATTAATTAAAAAATTCATTTGTTAAAAAATACTTATAACTATTTATTTTATTAAGACAATCTGTCTTGGGCTTTTAAATAAACTTGTTCAGCTCATCATTTTAAATATAGGCTGCAAATATTAAGTTTCTATACTCATTGAGAAAACTGTACTGACAGCCTTTGGCCTCTAGTTGTTAACTTCTAATCATCTCACAGTTTCTACTGCCTTAACCTGCTCTATACTCTTAAGTAAAGTTGTAGTATACATTTACCTGGTTAAAATAAACTCTAAACAAAGATTTTTGATCCAATATTGACTAAACTACAACTAAATTCATTATTTATTCTCTTGTAAAACTTCTTTTTTTACCTTTTGTTCTTATTCTGTTCCCTTTTCTTCTTACATGATTCTTGTATAACTATATTATTACTTCTTAATTTAACCTTATTAATTTATACCAACATTTTGTAACCAACCTATTAATAAAAACTTATTCACACAATCAATATTTCTATATTTAGTTCTTATTAATATTATACAGTAATTTGTACTGCAAATTCTACTTGTGTTCAGTACCTGAGTTACATTAGTGACCCTATCTATCTTTGTTATACTTTTGTGTCATTTCAGTGACATCCTTAAACTCTAACTCTTGCATTTAGTCATAACCCTTGTAAAATTAATTATTTATAACTATACTCTCTATTTTAGAAAATACATCTAAGTCTAAAATTCTTATTTTTATTACTGTTCAATAATACCTACCTTAAGTCAACAAGAGCCTGACACTGTAGACCTTGATTATTTCTACTAAAACTTCTCTAATAGTTTTGAAATTGCCCTCTATGAAGAAGACAACAATAAAAAGACCTGTCTAATTCCTTCTAAAGTTCAACTTACTACTTGTTTAACAAAAAATCTCAGATCAAATAAGATTACTCATTTCTTAAAGCTCCTACCTCTATCTCTGTAATTACTTGCCTCTGTGGCAAATACTATACCAAATTTATCTCAACTTCAAATACTAACTACATCCAAGCTACTGAATTTACAACTACTCATATCAACAGCAATTCCAAAAAAATTAACAAAACAACTTAAGAACTTATGACTAATCTCTCTTTCTCTACTAACAATATTCCTTTATCTCCTAAACCTGACATACATTATTATATTTGCCCTAAATGCTCTCTTTTAATTAGTTGTACTAAAAGAAATAAACATCACTATCCTACTGAAAAATATATCTTGAAAAATAATGAAATCTATCACCTTACTTATATGACTGCCTCATTATACCATGAAGCTAGTTCATCTAAAACCAAGAAAAACCTTACTCAAACCTTTCAAAACATCTTACATAAATCTTCTCAAACTACCAATTCTCTTACTGCTTTTCCTCATCAAATCTCAACTTCTTCTAATCTTATCGATTCTTTCTTTTTTACAACTACTAATACTAATTTCATCTTTAACTAATCCCCTACTACTAACACTCTTAACACTTCTAATCTAAATCTTAACAAGACTAGTAATATGAACTAATCTGAAAATACTCCTAACAAACCTCCTTCTTAATCATACTTTAGTGTTCTTAAATCAAAATCTAACTCTACATATAACTGAGTTGCAAACTTTCTTATTACTAAAGAAATGCAACCTAACAAAAAACTACAAACTCATTTTCCCTTCAACTCTTTAACTTCCTTAAAAAATTTCTTTATGACTTTTATTCTGGCAAGAAAATTAAGCCAGCTACTGCTACACAACTTGTACTCAAAGCATCATTCTATTATATTATTTATATTATGGCTGGACAACAATCTGAATTCTTAACTGATCTTATTTATAACAGTAATTCCAATATTGATAAGAGTATTACAATCCCTTTCGACCTTCTGGAATCTAGTTTAAAAAATCTTATTCTTAAATTTACAACTATTCTCTTTATCAAACTTAATTATCTCAAAATTTTTGCTTCACCAGTAACTTTTCCTCCATATACTGCTCATAATTATCTTTAACTCTGTCTTAATCTTGCATGCTTACATCTTTTCTTATCCAATAACTACCAATCAATTGACTACCAAAAATTTGCTGAGAACTTACAGCTTAAACCTAAAAGATTCAAAATTGAATCATTCATTCAAACTACAGATCTCAAACAAAAATATTTTACAATTCAATTTGATGCTAGATTTAATATTAAACTCTTCTTTAATATTTCAAAAACTCTCTTTTTAGAATGATTTTGCATTTCTTCACTAAAAAACTCTCTTGATTACTTTAATTCCTGGTTTGAAACTTACTATTCTTCCTATAGTAAACAATTC